TTTAAAGGTAGATGTCGCTTGAACCAATGGTTTAAGATCCAATGGGACTGCCATTGATGCGAACATCATCTACCTATCAAATTCAACGTCAGCTTCACTTCTTCGATGTTGTTAGGCCTTAAAATAGCGTGTCTTGGCTCATTTCCAAGTTTCATGACAAAAACTAAATTTTTTGTGAGCCATGGGAGAATGTGAGGGACTTTAACACGAAATCGCATGAAACCTATATATGGGAGCTATAGCTATATTTGAACCGATTTTCACTAAATTTGATGAACTTTCTTCTAGACTGAATTCGGTCGGAATTCGGATGTGCCAAAATTCAGATGATTCGCACTGATATTGGCCATTTGGTGCAATCCTAAAATTTGTTATAAATTGTCAAAATTTCTCCTTTTCAAAGACCCAACCCTGATAAACAGCATTCTATTACAAAATCCATGTTATTGTCTTTACATACATATTTATTTTAATAAAAAATATCGATTGTTTCTATATAAAAATAATATAGTTTACAGAATTTCCTTGCAGCAGATCCATAAGATTATTTAATGAAATATGGAAACAACTTATTTTTTTAAATTACATACAAATATTATAGAAATTAAAAACAAACTAGTAAATGTTGGGGGGGAAAAATGGATTGTAAAAATTACGATGAATCTGAATCATTTCCATTTTGTTGGGAAAATCCTATGCCACCGTTAAGACCCTTTGAGGCCGCCTCCAGTCGTTGGAGTTTCTTTTGTTTTTTCAATTTTCTCGAATCATTGGCAGTTTGTTGTTTACGCTTTTGGGCTGTGGCTGTGGATTTCTTGGATTCGTTGGTATGTTTGCCATTGGCAGTATTATTTTCCTCTTCTTCCTCCTCCTCATCGTCATCATCCGCCGATGATGCATTGTCTTCCAATTCAGAAGAACTTTCTTTTTCGCCTTCTCCATTTTCTTTTTGTTGCACTTCGGTATTACGTATAACATTAAGCTTAAAGGCTCCACAGAATCGCTGATAAACATGCGTGGACTCCAGACGTATTAATTTCCTCAGATTTTGTAAACTGTTGAGGGTTTCATCTGTGGTCAGAAGTGAGCTTGTGGCCAAACGTTGATGAGCCTTTTGTACATTTATTATTAATTCCAACAAAGTTTGGAATTCTTTGGGTGATTGTTTAAGGGATTTATTTTGTGTCAGCGCCTGGATATGTCCCTTGAGCGTCTTTTCAATTTTCTTAAAACGTTTTTTGGTCTCATCTTCATTTTGTTTTTGTAGCTCATTGTTTTTGTAGAGAATGGAGAGTATTTCATAGACTTGTATACGACGGAAGGTACGTGCCTCTAGATTAATGCCCTGCTGGGTAAGATCTTCAGCCAGATCGTAGTTGTGACACCATCGCAATTTGAAAATGTCCGAAAGCAAAGTTATATTTATTGTGGGATTACGTGACTTGACAAATTCTTGGACATACTCCCGGCAGAGGGCAAGAATTTTATGCGTTTGTCCATTGGCATTGATTTTGTAGGCATTTCCAATGAGGAAGCAACAACATTTGTTGCGCATCTTATTTACAATCTCAAAGACTGGAGCGGGCGCCTTCTTGTCAATAACCAATCGCAGGAAATCAACAAAATTCTCTTCCTTGAGATCCTTGTCGGTGTTGGTGTAGTTCTTTAGAGCAGTTAATTTGAGCAGAGTCTTCTCAACTTTACTTTGTAGGGGCTTCAGCTCATCGCCCACACAATATTCCAACATATTGTAAAGGGCCAACATAATTTCAATGGAAATCAACAGAGATGGTTTGTGTTGTAAATAGATTTCCAAAAGATCCAGAACACGGATACGGAAATGCATGACCGTGGTGGTTTTGACACGATAACTTTTTGATTTTTTCGTTTGAGAAGAACCGGTCTTCTTCATGGCCTTAAAAGCATTTGCCAGGGCCTCATCCAACTTGCGGCCTTCCTCTTCGGTCATATCATTTAAATCTACCGATTCCATGTCATCATCAACTTGGGTGCCACTGCCAATCAAGGCTTGGGAGACAGCATTGCGTAGTTTGTCAATTTCTGTAATGCCTTCTTCATCATCTTCCTCCTCCTCCTCGTCATCATCCTCGTCGTCGTCTTCTTCATCATCTTCGTCCTCTTCCCCATCGTCATCGCTATCCTCATCGTCTTCCTCACTTTCTTGTTTATTTTTACCATTTGCCTTAGGCTTCTGCTCTTCTTCATTTTCACTATCATCATCGTCGTCGTCCTCGTCATCATCTTCCTCCTCCTCATCTTTGCCAGTCAATGGGTTTTGACCATCCTTCATATCTAAAACACCCAATATCTGATGCACTGCTGTTAATGTCAAATTATCACACAAATGGGGAAACAAGGCATTGACAATATTGCGCAGGGCTCCATTGTTTTGGGACAACAAATGCAGGAACAAGTCCACCACCACCTCAATCCATTCGGGCTCTTCACCGCCTTCTCCTCCCTCCAATGACTTTTTGGATTTCTTTTTATTTTTACCAGCCTCCTTTGTTTTAGCCATACATTTCAATAGATCTTCTACGGCAGGGGCTGCCATCTCCGGCTCACGGAAGAGCTGGAGACCCATGTTCAACAACAGAATATTAAATACACTCTGTAGCTTGTTGTCCTTGGAAGCTTTCTTCTTGTTATTTTGGCCTTCTGACACAGCTTCATACATTAAACGCCATGCCTTTTGCAAAGCCTCATCGAATTTGGTTATGCGTATACATTTATTTGCCTGCTTTTGGGCCAACTTCTCCTGGCAGTATTGGGCCAAATTGTACAACAATTTCTGCTCCTCATCGATGTCATGGAGTTTAGTCTGCAAACAGGTAAAGAACATATTTTTACATTGATCCGCAAAGTCTTTACTAAACGAGCCGGCCGTTTCTTTTTTACAAATCTCTGCCAGATCTGTGACATAGAATACTCCGCAAGTGAAGAGAAATTTCAATTGTTCTTCCCTCCATGCATAGGCATTGTGTACGGATTTGTGTTGCAACAAATGTTGCAACATATAGCCAGCATTCAATCTTTCAAAATTAAGCCAAGTTTCGGAAGAATTTTCGGGATTTTTGGCCAACGTTCCCAAGAATATACTTTTGTATAATTTGAAAATCTCCTTGACACCCTCCTCGCCCAGCGTATTAATCAGCTGGTGGACAATGCGATTGCCGGTGAATTTCTCAATATTAAATGTACCAGGTGGCAGAATTAAACGTTGTATTGTTGCTACTTTATCGCCGTCCTGTGTGATTTTGCCACAACATTTCACCAAAGATTCCAAGAAATCACCATAGAACGCCTTCAAAGTTTCATCCTTTTTCTGTTTCAAATTCTTCAAGCCCTCAATGAGCATGTGCATGAAATTTTTACCCAACAAGTCGTGCACCTTGGTCTTTGTCACATCCAAATTATCCATGATGTCAGTGAGAATTTTCAGTGTTTCAATTTCCACCAATTTGGTGGGATTTTCCAAACCAGCATCAACAGTTTCACGCCAAAATGTTGTTAAATTTTTCGATGTTGCTATATATGCTCCAAAATATTCAAATGCTGGATGGGTTAGAATGTCCGTATTGCTGTGAACCCAAAATATTTTATGTAAATATTGGAAGGATTCGTAATTTAGAAGTTCGGCACCTCCGAAATGGGCTTTAAGAAATTTGGCATTCAACACGGTGGGGAATTTCTTTTGCAATACTATAATACAGTGTATGGTTTGGAGATTTTGTTTCGTCCATGGCCTGCACAGTTCCTTTTGCACCAGAGGCCATACGGCGAACTCAAATTGCTCTTGTGATAACTGAAAATAGAAAAAAAAAATAAAAAATTGAGTAAAATTGATGAAGTTGCATTTTTTTCTATAGAATACCAGGAGGGACTACTTGGGAGCCATCCACTTAGTTAGGGATGCCCCTGTGATTTGAATTATATTAATTTCCTTCCTTTCCCCTTTCCTTTTCAATTGGCATTGAATTAAATATTTTCTTTCAGCTTTTTATTTGTTTTTTTTTTACAATAATCAACGATTTTAATTGCAATTTGAGCTTTCTGCTAATTTTCCCGCCATTTTTAATTGTCATGTACTTTTTACACATTTCCTTTTGCAAATGCAATGACCGCAAACGCATGAGTAGTGTTAAGAGAAATTCTATTACATCTCTCAATGGCATTCATATGCAAGAGAGTAAGATTTGTTTGTTATTGTTTCTATCTCACACACTGTAGCTGTTTTGGGGCATCATATGTCCATTGTTGGGGGGTTGGTTTCTTATGAGAAAAAAGAAACATTTTTACAGAAGAGAGTTATGAAGAGGAAACCGGGAATTTTCTCACAGAGAGAACGTGCAAAAACCCCCAGAGAAGCAATGTTCTTTAAATGTGACATGATAATAAAGAAAGCAAAGGGTATTAACTTGCAAGCAATTGCTATCAATTTAAAAAGAATAAAATTAAATAATTCAAACGACAAACTTCATTGTCCGTACAAAAGGTATTACAAATTATTTGCATTTATAAAATTCGAATGAGACAATATTTAATGAAAATAAAATGCAAGCGGTTAGTTTGTGAAATGAAGGCGCCATGGAAAGAAGTGTGGATGAAAAGAAAAAAAAAGACAAATTGGCGCCTAATATAAATTCATGAATGAATTGCTCATTAGACACAATTGAATAATTCCAAATCAAATTATTTTAAAATACAATCATTGTCGCAACCAACAGTAAGGGATAATGAATTTGTCATTAAAAGAGCTTATAAATTATTGGTATATTCCAGAATTGCAAAATGTAAAAGTTTTTACAACGATAACCGAGTTTTCCTTTGTGCAGGTTCTGAAACAGAGCATGGAAAAATGGAATTAAAGGACCCGAGAATAATAAGCATATTTTAATTACTAATTTCCTCCTTTCGTAACTAAAGTTTATTTTATGTATTTGGATATGAAATATTCCCAGGTGATGTGATCTTCTCCTTAATAATGTTTCCCTTTCCTCTACTTCCTTAGACTGAATTCTTTGAAAGATGATACCTATTTTAAGGTTTTTATATTTTGTTATGGTGACACCCAACATGGTCTTATCAATTGCTACTCAACATATAAAATAGAACTTTGCCTCACTTTAGGGGGAGAGCCAATAAAATGTGCAGAGAGGGAGAGTTTATCATGTCACCAATGAAAAGAGAGGAAGTGCAGAGCATAAAAAACAAAGCACCAGCAACGGAAAATAAACACCGCAGCACTCAGTTGTCACCATTCATTCAATAAGTTTAGAAGAAACGATAAGATGGAACAACGCGAAACTAACAAACAAGCAAGTTAAAAAATTCAAAATTTACAACAAACTCAATCACCCATAACAACAATAAAACAATACTTAAGTGGCCAGCAATCTATAAAGTTTAAAAAGATTAGCAGCAAAGCCCCCAGCAATAATTTCAATAAACCAAAGATCAAATAAATATTGGCCAATCATTAAGAAGGAAAACAAGTTTTTTGCGCTTGGAAAATAACACAGCAACAACAAAAATTGTAAAATATGTCTTATATTGCCGCATTGGATGTGGGAACCACAACGGTGCGCTGTTTTGTGCTCAATGAAAAATGTGAAATTAAAAGTTGTTCTGTGGAGCAGGTGAGAACTGGAACATGTGCTGCGCCATGAAAATTTATGAATGAAAATTTACGCTTCTCTTGTTCTTCTGCCACACATACAGGTGCAACTGTTGAATCCCAAGGCGGGTTATTTTGAAATAGAACCAGAGGGCCTGTGGCAGCAAATTGTAAGGGTCATACAGAATGCTGTTAAAGGTGAGTGAGTTGTAAAATTTTGAAATCCTTGCTAATCGATTTATCCTCTCTTTTTTGCTTTTAGATGCCGCCTTGGAACCCTCACAAATTTCCTGCCTTGGCATCAGTAGCCAACGTTGCACGTTTCTAACATGGAATCACAAGACCCAGGAATATTTTCATAATTTTATTACCTGGAAAGATTTGCGTTCCGATACTTTGGTAGATGAATTCAACAATAGTGTGGCCATGAAAACATTGAATAACTGTGCTTATGCCCTGTATTTGTTAACGCGTAGTAATCGTTTTCTAGCCGGTAGCGTTTTGAAGATGATGAACGGTCAGGTGACCTTGAGATTATTGTATGAAATACAAAACAATACTCGTCTGAAAGAGGCCCTTAAGCGTAAATGTGTGCGTGTCGAGTTGTTGGATTCATGGATTCTTTATAAGCTGAGATCGGGTAATGGCAAGAATCCACAAGTGGAACATATTTCGGATGTTACATCTTGTACGGCAACGGGCTTGTTTGATCCATTTCAATTGCAGTGGTCACCAATGATGAAAATGTTGACGGGAATTGAGGTAAGTTGTGAATACAAACTAAATGTATTTTCATAAATAAATTAAATATTTCTTTCAGGTATCCCTTTTACCAAAAATTGTCAATAATTCCTACAAAGATTATGGCTGCATAGATCCCGAAGATTTTGGCCCCCAGTGGAAAGATTGCCGTATACCCATAACAAGTTCAATAAGTGATCAATGTGCTGCCATATTTGGGTCACAGTGTTTTAAAAAAGGCGATGTTAAAATTACAATGGGCACGGGGGCATTTTTGGATCTGATAACAGGTGATAAATGTCATGCATCGTTGAAGGGTATGTACCCATTGGTGGCATGGCAATATGCCAAAGAAACCACCTTCTGTGTTGAGGGAGCGGCACATGATATGGGCACCATTATTGCCTGGGGACAAAGTTGTGGTCTCTACGCAAATCCCAGTGAAACTGAAGCAATGGCTGAAGCGGTAGAAGATACAAATGGGGTTTACTTTGTGCCGGCTTTCAGTGGTTTAGGGGTAGGAGTTTTAGGAGAGCGAGACTTTAAAATATATCTAATTTTTTCTTTCTGGTTTGTTTCTCTAGGCTCCCATAAATGATCACAAGGCTGCCTCGGGATTTATTGGTATAACACCCTCAACGCAAAAAGAGCATTTGGTTAGGGCTCTGTTGGAAAGCATTGTTTTTCGTTTGGTCAAACTGGTGGAAACAGCCGAAGAGGAAACTAAACAGCAATTGAAAATTTTAAGGTAAAATAGACTGTTTCGTGGGATCATTGTTTATAAAAAAATTAATTACTTTTGTAGGGTCGATGGTGGTGTTTCACGCAACAATTTTGTTTGCCAATTTTTGGCCAATGCCACTGGCATTTGTGTGGAACGTGCACGCAATGCCGAAAGCAGTATAATGGGTGCCGCCTATGCAGCCGGTCTAAATAGCGGTATGTGGAATTCATTCCAGGATCTTGCCCAATTTCGTGATGTGGATCGTTGTTTTGAACCCCAAGCACAAAAATACAACGAAATACGTGATCGTTTGAATGTTTGGCTCAAGGCTGTAGAACGTTTCGGCCATTGGTATTAAGTAGAAATTTGGGTAATTAGTTGATATTAAAATTGTGATTCTTCTATTTAAGAATTTTTGACAAATTTTGTACCAAAGAAAATTTTTGTAATAAAAAAAAAAATTAAAGTAGATCACTGTTTTGTTAATAATTATTTGAATAATATAATAATGGAATATGAATATACTTCATTCCTTTATAGGATGTTTTTTTTAATTGTACTCAGAGGAGTTAACCTAATACGAGTAGCCTTTTGACAATAACACTTCTCAGTCTAACATTCTTTGTATAATTTCTTTTGATCATTTCCGATAGATTCTATATCCAATTGTAAATCACATTAACGGCCCTGGAGAGTCAAAATATTTTGAGGTCCCTATCGCAATCACTAGATTTTAAATCACATTCTTATTCACTTCAAATTTTCAAATCGGAATTTACTTACCGTTTCGATAATTTCACACAAAAACGAATAACCCAACGAGGCATGATAGGTTTTGTGGCGAGTTGACTGCAACAGGGTATTGGTAATTTGTTCCAAATGTTCTGGATTAACATCTGCCAAACGGCCGGAATGCAGAAGAGCACCAATAACTAGAATTTTTCCAACCACAGCATCAGCATCTTCCTTATTCACCACAGCAGATCCCACATGCAGTTCTTTGTTCATAATATCCAAAACTAGTTGCAGTGGTACCTCATCGGCGGCAAATGATTTCAAGACACCAACCAGACCCACATAGAAACCCGAACGTGAAGCATTGGTGGAGGAACCACAACCACGTATCAAACGTTTTAAACTGTATTGTAGTTCTTTTTGTTTCTGTAAGAAAATCCGTGGTTAAATTAGAAAATGTTAACACGAGGACAAAAAATGTTGCACATTTCTTGAGTTCATACCTTATCATCATCTTTGTTGCGATTTAATTGTTGCAGCAGCTGTACGGCTGCCTCCAGACGCAGTTTCTCCTCATCGCTAGTTAAATCCTTAAAATATTTGAAAATATTTGTATCCAATGTTTTGATTGCTGCTTTAGTTTTTGCTGGTGGCGCCTCCAGCTCGCCATCCTTATCGTTGGCATTTTCTTTGCTCAATTTTTGTTTCTTTTTTGCTTTGAGGGCTGCCGATGATTCTTCCTGTGTTTCATCGCCATTCTGTGGACGCTTTTCAGCTTTTTTATCTTTTTTAACTTTCATTTTATTTGATAAATTCATATAATTTTTTGTCCGCTGCACGTGTTGGATGGGTTTTATTTAAGTCTTCTTCTATTTAAAATGACACTGAAATGCAAAATGAATGGTTAACCCAAAAAAATAAAACACTATTGCGACAAAGTATGCTACATGGTTAATTGAATATATAAGAAATGAGCAGGGTTTAATAGTACTTTATACTGAACCTTGGAGGCTTTAGTATTAAGAATGTATCGACTAGAAAAAGAACGAACTCAAATCGCTTACGTGTGTGGGTAGCAAAATATGCTACATTTTATACAGCTTTGTTCGCGCACTTTTAAGTGGCAAACGTAGTAAAGGAATAAAGAACGAAAATGAGACAATGAGAAAAATGTCAGATTTAAATGATAGTTCTTCAAAATTAAAAATGTCAGACAAATTTGTCTAACAGAAAGGTTTTATATAAAAACGCTTAACCAATTTTTTCTTATTGTCTTTTTAATGTGCTGGATTTCTTGTTGTTATCAATTCTCTTTGATTATATATTTTTTCTATTCCAATTTCGCCATTACCTTAACATTAAATACTTGATATGCAGTTTTTACCCCATTAAATAACTGATATGAAGTTTTTATCCCAACGATAATAATAATATTACGTAAAAGTCTCAAAAAAGATAAAATGAATAAAATATTCACACAATTTCTTCCTGTGCTATCAATGTGTGTGAATGCCTTTTTTTTATCTCTTGGACGACCACGGTATGAAGAAGCATGGTTTAATTTGATAACGATGCCGGCCGATTTCTATGGACGGCGGTGATTTATTTAGTCCGGCGTGCTTTTATAAAATACAAATAAAATATCAACAGAAACAACACGTGGAGAAAATATTAAATAAATCTGGAAATTATGAATAAAAACAAAAAATCAGCATTAAAAAGTAAACCCGTGGAGGATGAAGTATCCGAAACACAAGCCGTGGAAAAAGTAGAAAAGAAAAATAAAGCTGGAAAAAAGAAAAACAAGGAGGCTGTTGAGAAGAAAAATAAGAAGGAAAAGATTGTGCATGCTGTGGAAAAGGAAACATCCGCAGCAACAACGACAACAAATCTCAGTGAAGCTGAATTGAAAAAGATCGAAAAGAAAAAAGCCAAAAAGTTGGCCCAGAAATTAAAGAAGGCCGAGAGGAAGGCTTCTGGCAAAACTAACGAAGCAACGACACAAGATACAAAACAAGAAGGCCAGCAGGACAAATTGTCAAAGAAAGCCAAAAAACGTAAACTAGAGAGCACAGAAACCAGTGAAACTGCTGAGGAAGGACAAAATAAGAAAAAGAAGAACAAGAAAAATAAACTAAAGAAAGCCAATGAGGAGCAAACCGAAGGTGAACAGAAGAAATCCGAGCCATCTCCTAAGGCTGGCGGAACAAAAGATACCAGTGAGGTATCGGAACGTGTTCTGTTGAAAAAAGAAAAGAAATTGAAGAAACGCCAAGAATTGAAGGCACAAAAATTGGCAGAGAAAAAACCCCGAGATCCCGCCCAAGAGGATGCCACAGTTTTTGTGGGTAATCTGCCGGTTACCACAAAACGTGTGCAACTGATAAAACTTTTCAAAAAGTATGGACCTGTCAACTCAATACGTATGCGTACTGCAGCCGGACAGATTCTGTATAAGCACAAAATGCGTAAGGCTTCGGGAGCCCTAAATGCCTATGTAGTATTGCAAAGCAAGACGGCAGCTGAGAAGGCCTTGGAGCTGAATGGCACCGAATTCAAGGGTATGCATTTGCGTGTCACAAAATCCAGTCTCAAACACTCGGCCTCTGCCCAGGAATCTAAGGAGGAGGCTAAGCGTACGATTTTTGTGGGCAATCTCAAATACAGTAAGTGGCAATTAGAGTGGGGTAGAAAATTTTGTTAATTTGTTTTTTTTTTCATTGCAGCCGCCACTGAAGAATCTTTGAGGGAAACATTTAGTAGCTGTGGAGAAATTGAATATGTCCGTTGTATACGCGATGGCACTAAAGGCTGTAAGGGAGTGGCCTATGTCCGTTTCAAAACTGCCGATGCTGTGGGCTTGGCATTGGAATTGAATCAAACCCTCTTGGATGATCGCCCAATCAATGTTGAACGTTACAGTGTAAAGAAATTGGGTGCCAAAGAGCAACGTGATGCCCAGGCGGCTAAGGAGAAACAAAATCAGAATCCAAAGAACAAAGGAGACAAATCAAAGAAATTTAACAAATCCAAAGACTCTAAACCCCAGCAAAATAAGTCTCAAGGCGATGAAGGTAAGAAATCCAAGAAAAGTGAATTCCGTGGTGTCAAAGTTGAGGCTCTGAAGAAAAAGAATAAACAGAAAAAGAAGAAGCCAAGTCAGGCCATGGATATTGCCAAGAAAATAGCACCCAGGACGAAAAGTGAAGAGTAAATAAATTGAGATATGTTTTTAGGGAAAATATAAGTAATTCTTGAAGTAGTTGTGTTCTTTTAAGTTGACCTTTTTCTTAATGTATATCAACCACATATGGAGAGTGGTTTATTTTAATTAATGTTTCTCCCTGACTGTATTTAACGCATTTTTTTATATTATATTAATATATATGGTAATAAAAGATAAATTGTTAAACAATCTAGAAATTCATGTCAAGTTGGTATTGTATAACAATGTCATAGATTAGTCCTGATTTTTTTCAGTGCATTCGGTTCAATCGTGAATCCAGTCGACAGAAAATTGTGGTTAACAATTCATGTGGTGCCCCCATATAATGTTAAGGCGTGTAAAAAACTATATTCCATTGCTTAATGCACCATCGAAAGTTGTTTCTTTAGTTTGACTTGAATATCCATTGGAAATGTATTCGCCACTATCTTTGTACACGTCAGACAATAGGTGTTTTTAAAATAAAAACTACATGCATTATCCTTACACACCATTTCATTGCATCGTATACAATAGGCTCCTATTGCTATAAAATACTCCGGTTTTGATTTCCACTTAGGTATGGGCGGTTGAAAGGGATCACGCATAATGTAGGTGGGTTCACAAAACTCAAGACCATAAACAAATGGTGGATCCCGACCAAGGTAGTGTACCCTTTCGTGGAGACCACATAATTTGCAATGGAATGTTACACGTTCATCATCGGTGGTGGATTCCTTGGTTTCGTCTTTACTTTTTGTCGTATCCTCTGCGTCTTTTGTTTTAGCTACTCCTGGATTATTTTCGGCGACCATTGTAGCTGGTGGAATTTCTTGATTATCTTGGGGCATATTATTGGAAATCAAGTTAGTAATGGGTGTTTTTCAAGATGCTTTTTGAGATAGTACCGCCATGGCCAATTGTGAGGAAAACAAATTAAAAAACGTCCCAAAAGGAAACAAAATACAAAGCCGAAAGATTCATTTAAATGAACCGAGGAACTAGTTGCGAAATTTTCAGTGAAATCAAGAGTTCAAAGGATTGTACACAACATTTATTTTTAAATGTCCCTCTCTTAGAAACGCGTGATGTTTTAAGATATTATATATTCGGGTATATAAGTCATATACCAGACACTGGATTCTTGTTTCTTTTATAAAGGAAATATTATTCATTGCATATTTTCAGTCCCAGGTCAGCAAGAAAACTGACTGTTGGCGACAATTTGACAATAAAATTAGTACACGGGGATATATAAAAAACTGCAACAAAGTCAAACGCCATAATTTTTACATTTTTTTTTTTTAATTTTTTGAATGAAAGCAAAAAATGTCGGAAATAACATCAAATTTTATAATATGTATAGACTTGTTCGATTTGGTCGCCTTTGGCACAAATTATGGCCTTCAAACGGCCAATGAAATCGTCACACGCTGCCCGAATGTTGCTCTGCGGCATTTTGGTCAATTACCGGCGAAGCGCTTGCTTAAGGTGATCGACCCTATGGTATTTTTTAGTGCCAATTTTGCTTTCCAAAATACTCCATACACAATAGTCCAACGGATTAGTATCCGGAGAATTTGGTGGTCATTGTGCGCTGGAAATGAAGCGAGGAAACTCATTTTGTAACCATTCCATTTGGTGGCGCGTGCTGAGTGCGATGGTGCTGAGTCCTGTTGGAATGTCCAAGGTCTGCGGCCAAAATATTTGCGTGCCCAAGGCTTTAATACACCCTCCAGAATATTTTCGCGATAATATTCGGCATTTATTCTGATGCCACGGTCGATTAATACGAGCGGAGAGCGACTATTGGATGTTATGGTGGACCACACCATCACTATGGCCACACCATGGTCGCTTCTTTACATTTCGAACCATTTCTGCTGATGTTGCAGTTTTCTTTTGTCCACTTCCTTGACGTCGTCGTGCTACACTACCAGTATCACGGTAACAAGCGATGGTACGAGACACAAAAGATTTATTCACATTTAAATGCTGGAGTGCTTTAACGATAGCCACTTGTGGTTTTCCAGGCAAATATAAAGAAATCACACTATCACCCCCGAATTCCATCACGAATAACTTTTTTTCTGGAAAATTTTCACCAAAATGCTTTTTTACGCTTGTAATAATTTTTACAGATGTCGGACGAGTGGCTTAGAAATGACAGCAGTCTGAGGTTGGTTGCAGTTTTTTCATCTCACCTTGTATGTTTACAAGCTTTTGGTTTTTTAAAATGGGCCATGAAGGTCCAGGTTTTGGTATAGCCCCATATAACGGTACCTACCGATATTCGGCATTTTCATGATTTTAACGACATTATTCACCGAATTTGTTTTTCAAGTTTCGCATTTGAATATTGTAGTGGCTCATAGCCTATGCAGGTCCACGTCGTGGTATAGACTCTAATATAACGCCTACCATTGTAGAATTAAGAAGGTAAAGTCATGGAATCATATGTTTACATTTTTTTTTCAAAATTATTTGTCAAAAATGTCATCTCATTGTCAAAATGTAAATTTAGAACTCCATTGTAAACACAGAAATCAGAGATGGGAACCTGTTTTTTATTCAGTGATATTTGACAAGGTAAATTACAGAAAATTCAGATATGAATAGTCTTATTTGAAATGACTTTACCTTCTTAATTTTACCATGACGGCTACATTCGGTATTTTTAAGATTTTAGCAGAATTTCGTTCAAATGGTATTCAAAGTTCGGCTCATAAAAACAATCCCCCTAATTTTACCAATTCCTGCAACTATGCGTTTTAATATAAACCAGGAGTTGATGTGTGTCCAGCCAGTTATGTGAAAATAACTGGGCGCAAAATCAAAGTTCGTTCATCCCTCACCTAACGCCGACAAATATAAAATCAAACACCCTTGGATGTCATTTTGTTGTTCTTCTTTGTCATTTTCATTCGTATGAGTTACAATAGTGTTGCGAAGTGAAGTGAAAAGTTCTTATTGTCAAGATAATTGAGAAAATTTAATAAATTTTCATGGAAAATTGTTGGAAATTGTTTATCACTTGTTAAAATAGACGTTTTTCTCCTCGAAAAGGGGGAAAAGAATATTGCAATGTTGGTCGAACAAGGAAGGAGGAAAAAAATTAAACGACATCATTGACAAAAGCAAACAAAAAAAAAAAAAAAAAGGCAAAGTCAGCAAAGCAACGACAACGATAAGCGAAAGAAAATTGAGAAAACCTTTTAAAACAAAGAAGATAAAGAACAAAACAAAAGTTGGAAAAATTAATCAAAATAATCGAGTAGCTGCCCTGTTCGTTGAGATACAAACGGCAGTAAGTTGATAGAATATTATTAAAATGTTTAATTATTCGGTTTTCTTTGATATGTGTGATCTGTGGTGTGAATGCTAACTCTCTGCCGCCTGCCTGCCTCTGGCCAACAAGCCACTTGGGCCAAACCAATCTTGGCCAGCAGTAGTAGTAGTAGTAGAAGCAGTCCAAACGAAGCAAAACAACAGCAAAGAAAAGATAACTATAGCAGTAGAGAAAATAAAAATCAACGAAAACAGAATCACAAATAAATAATAACAACAACAACAGAAGAAGAAAACAAAATTCTTTGTTTAATACACAAAAACCAAAAAAATATATATATATTTTAATTCCGCCGCAGAGCGTCGCGAAAAATATTATCTTGTGTGTAAACGAAAAAAGGAATAAGAAAAGAAATTGAATTGCAAACAAAAAAAACATTTTCGGTTGTTGAAAGAATTTGTTACCATCTGATTTGGAAAAAAATTGCATACTTATTTTAACAAATTTTTCCATCGTTTCTTCACAAAGATTTGTCATCACCAGCGCCTGCCAGTGCAGCCAAAAAACAGAACGAAGAAGACGAAAATTATTTGCAACTGCAAAATTTAGAAGTGTTAGGTAAGTAGTTCCTGATGATCATATATTATCTGAGGAGGGGTTGGGGGTCTGCTCCAATGTTTATCTGGTATATATAGTATAATTTGTTTTTGTAATAATTATTGTCCTTGCAAATGTCACTTGGTTGTGGCAATGTTGGATATTTTTTACATTTTCCTCTTTACCAGCTTGTTTTTTTGCCACATTTTCTTCATATTCAATCTTGCTTTTCATGTCTTTGGCGTTTTTTCTTGGCTGGACTTTGTACTTCTCTTGGCTCTGATGCCGGTTTGGTTTTCACTCCGCTAATGGCTGGCTAGGCTTGCCATATACATAAGTACACAAATGCAGCCAAAATGCAACCTAAACATAGTTTTGTATTGAATAAGCCATGGTTTAATGACTGAAAATAGTCTAAGCTTTCGTGGAAGCTTGAATTTGGATGCGACTTATTTGGATATCGCTTGCTTGATACGATTGGGGACCAGGAAATAGATTTGAGTTTCTCAAATCGTTTATATTCCGGTATGGAAATCTAATTGCAAAGCTTCTGCCCCAAAATTTTTGAATATTTGAAAATTTTAAATAAAATTCCAGGCGAAAATTGCTGCTACAGCAGGTGGCCGGGGAAATGCCTTTGTGCCGAAGACGAATATGCAATCCATATCCAGTCTGACCACACAAAACGTGGATTTTTTAAACAACTAATTTTCAAGCGGTCAAGAATCTACAGAAGTTGGATCTTTAAAAAAAGATTTTTTTTTTCAAGAATCTATAGAACGTGGATCTTTAAGAAATGGGAGCTTTACTAAATATGCATAGTGGTTTAGGGTATCATATTGTAGGCCCCGCCCGCCTTATAACTTTTCCTTACTGGTTTTCTTATCACGAATGTAATTTGACCGCAAATTGTGATAGTAATTCGTTTATCAGCGATTTTCCCACAACTCTTTTTTTTAATTATAGATATTTTATGTGGCTATTTGTTTTACAAAAATATTTCTTACACTTGCGGTTTTTTCATTCTACTACTCCTGATGTTCTTCAGAAATTTAATGAGGGTAAATTGCAATTGGGATTTTTATACCCTCATCCATGTGGCTACATAGAGTATATATCATTTGATACGGCCAAAACATGCCTCATCGAAATAACGGTTTTAGACCCTAGGTTTCTTTGGACCAAATCCGTTTCAGGACATTTGGAGTCAATCTAGCGATGTCCGTCAGTTCGTCTGGCTGGCTGGCTGGCTGGCTGGTACGCACGATAACTCTCGAATGGAGTATCCGATTTGATCCAAACTTGGTACATCGTAATATTATTGTCAAACTTAGATCGACTTCGGAGATGGACAATATCGGTCCACACCTTCTGGTACCTCCCCCACAAAAGGTTAACATTTAAAAAAAAAAAATAAATAAATAAATAAAAAAAAATAATTTACTGCACAGAAAGAGATAGGATATTCCGAATTTCTCGAACTTTGCCAATCCTAATATTTGCATCAGTGCTAGGTCAGGTGCGAAAATGGGCAATATCGGTCCACGCCATCAAGTATCTGCCCCACAAAGGGTAATTTTTTTAATAATTATAACTCTTATATCTCCGATTGTCTTCAATTAACGCACATCGCTATATTTTTATAAACTCAAGGTCCGATGTGAAGATGGAATGTATCGGTCCACCCATTCTGGTACCTCCCCCACAAAGAGTCAAAATTTTAAATATCCATGAAGCTCATAAAACACGGAATTGACTTCCGATTCCATTCAGACTTGGCACATCTCAATATTTCCATCAGCGCAAGATCTGTTATAAAGATGGTAGAGATCGGACCATAACTTCTGGTACCTCCCCCATAAAGGGTCAAAATTTTAAATAACCAAAATTATCATAAAATCCGAAATAAGCATCCGGTTCTCTTCAAATAACACACATCGCTACATTTTTATAAACCCAAGGTCCGATGTGAAGATGGAATATATCGTTCAACTCCTTCTGGTACCTCCCACACAAAGAGTCAAAATTTGGAATATCCATGAAGCTCTTAAAAC